ATCTGATGCAACAATGAGAAGTACAAGTTGTCATGTCCAAAACGAGCTTTACAACGTCGGTGCGGGCTTCGGGGCCGAGGCGGGGAAGGGGGTGGGAGGGGGTGGGGGGGAGGAGAGCGCGGCCGGCGCGCGGCCTTCTACCGTCCCCTTCGCTTCCGCCCGCGGAACGGCGCAGCCGCCAGGGTTGGTTTCCACACGGGGCACATTGGAGCGACGACGGAGGCGCTGTGTGCTTTTCCGGCGCATTTCCCTCTGCCCAATCAGCGGGCCGGCCGCCCCGGGAAGAGGCGGGACTAGGGCGGGGAGGGGGAACGGGGGGAGGAAGAGAGTGTTGGCTGCGACGCGCGTCTGTCAGATGTGAGTCCCCGAGGCCGCGGTCTTGGTGGAGGGGTTTGGATATGATTGAGAGACCGGGAGGCGCCGCCGTCCTTCGGTGGTGGTTGTACCTGCTGGCCCCTGCGCCTGCTCCTTGGCGGGACTGTGACCCGGTCGTGGGGACAGCCCCGGGCGCTGCTCAGAGACGTGCGCGCGTGCGCAGCCAGTGCTGGGGCGGCCGCGTCTCCTGATCGCAGGTGGGGCTGACCGGACCGAGGCAGTCCCGCGGAGAGCCGGGGCGGGGACGGGGCTGGGGGGGAAGCAGGGGGGCGGAGGATGCTTGTTACCCCCGATCCCTCCCCCTCCTCGCGGCCCCTCCGTCCCTTGCAGCTCCTGGCTCCCCAGGCCTGACCGGTGACGGACGGGCCGCAGGTTTCCAGGCAGCAGGAGTGAAGGTTCTGCCTCAGTTGGTACCCTCATCAATGAAGACCCCCAAGTAGAGCTCCTGGCTGCTTCGTTTCCTAACGGACCAAAGTTGTACCCGACGCTTCTTTATCTTTTAGGGGGGCAGGGGGACTGTCATAGGTCTTAACTCTGCCCTAGGCATTGTCCCTGAGCTTTTTTTTTTTTTTTTACCCCTCTATCTCTTGAACCATAACTCCATTTGTGGCCCTTGGAGATGAAAGCCTCATAGATTCAGCCTCCTGAGTAGCTATTATTATAGCTAAGCGCCACCAATCCAACATTCTTTTTTTTGGGGGGGGGTCAGGTCGTGGGGCCTGAACTCTGGGCCTGGGCGCTGTCCCTCAGCTCTTCAGCTCAAGGCTAGCGCTCTACCACTTGAGCCACAGCACCACTTCCGGCTTTTTTCTTTTTGCTTATGTGGTACTGAGGAATCGAACCCAGGGCCTCAGGCATGCAAGGCAAGCGCTCTACCACTGAGCCACCTTCCCAGCCCCAACATTCTTAAAAGTGAACTCGAGCCGGGCGCCAGTGGTTCACACTTGTAATCCTAGCTACTCAGGACGCTGAGATCTGAAGGTCACAGTTCAAAGCCAGCCCGAGCTGGAAAGTCCATGAGACTCTATCTCCAATTAACCACCAGAAAACCCGAAGTGGCGCTGCGGCTCAAGTTGTGGAGTGCTAGCCTTGAACTGTAGAGCGCAGAAACAGTGCCCAGGCCCAGAATTCAAGCCCCACAACCGACAAAAAAAAAAAAAAGTGAACTCAGACCTGGGAGATTTACCCTGAAAGGTTTTTTTTTTAATTGTCTATAGCAGGAGGAGACCTAAGTCATATTTCATAACTGAAAGATTACAATTATGTTCCTGTGTCTGAACTTCCTGTTGGCTACCAGGTGATCTACTACTACGGAGGAATACATTTCTTAGATCCCCTGATAACACATACTGAAATTTCTTTGGAGAATGAATTTATATTTAACTGCACCAGAACCTATAATTCTGTTCAAGACAAATTAAAGTTTTGGTTGACTTCCTTTTGTACTTGAGATTTTCCTTTATGAAATAGTGGGGTCTTGACCCACAGATAAGAAACCTAACATATTTCTTTACCCACAAATGCTTTTATTAGTTGCTAAGAAACCCATCACCTTTTCCTAATGGGTGTTTTTGAGTTCTGGTACTGGGGCTTGACCCTTAGCATTGTTGCTCAAAGTTAGCACTGGACCACTTGAGACACAACTCCACTTCTAGCTCTTTTTTCCAAGTGTGCCACCAGCGCCTAGCTCTAATGGATCTTTGGGGGGATTTGTTTTATTGTGCCAGTCATGGGGCTTGAATTCAGGGCCTGGGCACATCCCTGACCTTTGTACTCAAAGCTAGCACTCTATCACTTGAGCCACAGCCCCACTTCCTCGTTTTTGGTAGTTTAGTAGAGATAAAAGTCTCAGAGACTTTACTACCCAGTCTGGTTCTGAACCATGGTCCTTAGATGTTAGCCTCCTGAGTAGCTGGGATTACAGGAGTGACCCATCTGTGCATGGCTTCTTTCTAATGGGTTGTTTTGATACCTAATATGACATAGGATGCGGCAGAAAAAGGAGCAAGGCAGGGTACTTATTCTGTCATTACAGGAGTGCTCTAGACTACTACTTACCAATACCCAAGCCTATGCCTTAACAAATCCGACCCAAAACATGCACACACACACACACACACACACACACACACACACTTTGCTTGAGCTTCCTTTGCTCAAGGCTAGCACTCTACCATTTGAACCACAGTGCAACTTTCCGCTTTTTCCTATGTATGTGGTACTGAGGATTCAAACCCAGGGTTTCATGTATGCTAGGCAAGTACTCTACCACTAAGTCACAGTCCCCAGCCCCAAAACTTTTTTTGTCGGTTATGAACTTGAACTCTGGGCCTGAGCACTGTCCCTCAGCTCTTCAGCTCAAGGCAGGTGCTCTACCACTTGAGACACAGTGCCACTTGCAGTTTTCTGGGGGTTAATTGGAGGCAGTCTCATGGCCTTTCTTGCCCGGGCTGGTTTTGAACTGTGATCCTCAGATCTCAGCCTCCTGAGTAGCTAGTATTATAGGCATGAGCCACCTGCACCCGGGCCCCAAAACATTTTAGTAGCAAATTCAAATAACTCAGTTTGTCTACAATGTCACCACTTCCTGCTCTCTCTGATAAGTGCCTTATAAATCTGCTCTGTCCCTAAGGAAAAGTTTTCATGTTTCTAAAGTACAGGCAGAGGGTGTAAGTAACAGAAGTAACAAAATGATTAATCTCATTTCTTACCAAAAGGTGTGCCCCAAACTATGCAACAAGCCTACCTAACTGCAGCCCTAAGGCTTCACAGTGTCACAAATAAGAAACAAAGTTGATGGTTGTTGTTGATCCCAAGGACTTGTGATTGGATGGCTGCTAGGAAATTAATTTTTTTGTTTGTTTGTTTTTGGTCCAGGAGCTTGAACTCTGGGCATGAGCGCTGTCCCTCAGCTCTCTTTCCTGAAGGCTAGCACTGTTGAAGCCACAGCTCTACTTCCCATTTTTGAGTGGTTGAATGCTGTACCTGGCTTGAAACCAATATATTTCACTTTAAATTTATGCAGCCAGCCTAGAGAAACATACACACCTTTAAAATACTCTATATCGTTGGGCACCAGTGGCTCATGCCTATACTCCTAGCTACTCAGGAGGCTGAGATCTGAGGATTGCAGTTCAAAGACAGCTGGGGCAGAAAAGTCCCCAGGAGACTCTTATCTCCAATAAATCACTCCAAATCTGGAAGTGGTACCTGCGGCTCAAGTGGTAGAGCACTAGCCTTGAGCACAAAGAGGCTCAAGGACAGCGCCCAGGCCCTGTGTTCAAGCCCCAACAGACAAAAAAGTATAATAATGACAAAATCCTGGCATACATCTTATTTACATTTGGCAAGCACAGGAAGAAACCAAACAGTATGATGAGATGGTTTGCCTACAGGTAACAGCAAATTCCATAGCAGACCTTATCATAGAGCTTGGTGTCCCAGTGTGCCGGTCCTCCGTCCATGGAAGAAGCCTTGCTGTCTCCTCAACCTCCTGAGTTACAAATGAGGAGGAAGGAAAAGAGCAAGTGTAAATAGACCAAGCAGAAGCTCAGATGGCTCGCTAGGACTGCCCCCTCATTGAGCTGGTAGAATGTCTCTATGGCTCTTAAAAACCTCAGGTACCCATAATGGGGCAGGAGACACAGATAACACAAATGCCAAACAAGCCAATGGCCTTTGTAAGGTAGTTTTGAAATGGGGTCAGTGATATTCAGAAGATACTAAGTGGCACCTGTGCTGAGCTGTGCTCTGTGCTCTCAGGTGTCTATCCTGAATCTCTGTGCACAGGCTAGACACTTTGGCTGGACAGTTTTCTAACACGATATAAACTGCAGCATTTGGGAATCGGAGAATGCTGATATTGGGGCTTGAAGTCAGGGCCCGGACAAGATCTCTTTCAGTACTTTGTAATTATGTATTGCATGGTTACTGGTAGGGTCTGTCCCGTTGAGCAGTAAGCTAAAGCAAGGCATTGTATTTGTTTTGCTTTTGCAAGAGTGTGTGCAGTACTGGGTTTTGAACTTGGAGCCTAAGCACTGCCCCTTTTTCACTCAAAGCTAAGGCTCTAGCACATGAGCCACAGCTCCACTTCTGGATTTGGGGTGAGTAATTGGATATGAGTCTCACAGACATTTCTGTTTGGGCTCCTTTGAGCCACGGTCTTCATATCTCAGCCTCTTGAGTAGCCAGGATAACAGGCATGCGCCACCTGCTCCCAGTTGAACTATGTTTTCATGCATGTTCTCTTTTCAATTGAAGGATAATATGAAAGATCCCATAGGCAGAAAGACCTGGAGCTGTGGAAGGCATGAAACATGTTGTCCCTGTTAGTTGTCATGATCTCCCTGAAGAAATTAGTCTAAAAAGTGCTCATAAAATTGCAGGTTTTCATGGAAGATTTCTTATGCTTTTTTTTTTTTTTTTGTCAGTTGTGGGACTTGAACTCTTGGCCTGGGTACTGTCCCTGAGCTCTTCAGCTCAAGAAGAGCCCTCTACCACTTGAGCCACAGACCACTTCCAGCTTTCTGGTGGTTCATTGGAGATAAGAGTCTCACCGACTTTCCTGCCTGAGCTGGCTTTGAACCACAATCTTTAGATCTCAGCCTCCTGAGTAGCTAGGATTACAGGCGTGAGCCACCAGTGCCCAGCCTTTTTTTATGCTTTCTAATAGTGTTTGGTACACCTTCAGAGAAAGACGTACGAGGCCCAGCCTGTTATGCCTGTAATCCTGGCTATTCTGGATGCTGAGATAATCTCTTTTTCAAAGCTAAACTTGCAGGATAGTCCAGGAGACTCGTTTTCAATTAACTACCAAAAGAGAAGAAAAAGAAGAAGAAAAAAAAAGTTGTGGCTCACATGATAGAGCACTAGCCTTGAGCAAAAAATAACAAGGAGAGAGAGAGCAAGCTTAGGTCCTGAGTTCAAATCCCAGGACGCATGCGTGCGTACACACGCGCGCACGCACACATACACATACAGCAAAATACACTATATTGCCTTCATAGAGCTTACTGCAGAGTAGGGGCAGACTCAACCAGTAGCCATGCAAATAATAAGTAAATAAATATAAAATAGTGAATGCCATAAAATGACACATGATGTAATTGGAGTGGGAGGAGGGGACATTTCTGGAAAATCTGCCCAGAGGAAGTATGGTTTGTGGCCTTTATTTTGACATCCCCCTTGCTAGCTCAGGTTGCCCAAGTTCCTGCCGGAACTGCTGGTATACCCAATAATTGTCAGATCAGAAAAGGAGTGCTTTGCAGAGGTTTCCAGAATGTGAAGAGTTAGGGCCTCCCTCATACATAGCCATGGAGTTTGAGAGAAGCCAGTATAAGCCAGTACAGGGTTCTACATGCACTCAACTCTCAAATGGTAGTGATGGTTCTTGTTCTTAAGCTAACAAGGCTGAAGTCCACCTAGCCTTCTGTGGACAAGCTATTTAAACAAGTCCACAGATGAACTGCCATGAGGCTAAGTCAACCAAGACCAGTTCCACTAAAGATTGTCCTTGAGCCCACTACTTAACCAATTTCCAAGCTCCACCTAACAAATCTGCTTCTCAGAATGAATAGTATAAGCTAGGCACAGATGGCTTATGCCTATAATCCTAGCTACTCAGAAGGCTGAGATCTGCGAATGGCATTTCAAAGCCAGCCTAGGCAGGAAAGTCATTGAGACTCATCTTAACCAGCAAAAACACCAGAAGTGGAGCTGTGGCTCAAAAGTGGTAGAGTGCTAACCTTGAGCAAAAGAACTCAGGGACAGTGATCGGGCCCTGAGTTCAAGCCCTGTGCCCCCCCCAAATGAATTGTATAAATTAGCATGTTTATATATGCACATAATACACTGTGTGTGTAAGTTGCTCTATTTTTCTTTGTGGTATTGGTACTGGGGCTTGAGTTCAACGCCTGTGTCCTGCCCCTTAATTTTTCACTCAAGGCTAACACTCTACCACTTGAACCACAGCTCTACTTCTGGCTTTTTGGTGATTAATTGGAGATAAGAGTCTCAGAGATTTTCTTACCCAGTTTGGTTTTAAACCCTGGTCCTCAGATCTCAGCCTCCTGAGTAGCTAGGATTACAGGTGTAAGCCACCAGTGCCTAGTATATAAACTCTTCTTTCTTTTATTATAAACATACATTTGTGGAAAGCAGTCTGGAGGGTCCTTAGAAAGCTAAAGATTGACCTCCCTTACGACCCAGTCATACCACTTCTAGGCATCTACCCTGAACAACAGGA